GGCAGCTGACTCGCTGCCACTGAAGGAGGCACAAAGTTATTGGTTAACACTGGAGGAAGTGGCCTGCCATTGGCTCGTTTGTTGGGAGGTGGCATAACATTGGTAGTATGAGGCACAGTTTTAGAAATTAGGGTGCCTTTTTCCTGTAAACATCGCCTTTTTATAGAACAAAGAAATCATATTTTATGTTGGAACATTTTTGTATTTATGTTACAATATGGAGTGCAGATTTTCTTTTGTTTTTTCTCTAATATAACTGGCCTAAATACACTGCTTATTTGCCTTGGTTTCTGAAAATCACTTACTATATCCTTCCTGCTGTTTTTAATGCCTAGTCCCTCTTAGTAATATCCTTTCTAATAAGCACACACAATGTGACAAACACTCTGAGACAGAGTTAATTAACAGTACACGGCACTGGACGGACCACGGAATCAATAAAGTAAAGGCGGGCCTGGTCGCAGCAGGCCGAGCGGCAGGACCCGCCAACCACGCAGCCTTTCAGTGTAAACCGAGGGAGGTCTTTTTCTCTCCATACTGGTAAATCACTCCACAGCCAGGCTGCTTGGCACACAGAGCGAACTGCAGTGCTAGGCCGACACAGTGTGATATTATATTAGCATTACAAAGGCTTTCCCACCATCTGTGACACACAGTGGAAAAAAATCACTTTTCTGTTTCCAAGCCCCAAGTGCTGATGTTTCCATAGGTTCTGTTGTGGAGGGCTGATGGGAGTGTGGCTGGGGATGACAAACGAAACATGCATTTATTACAACCTCTCTGCCATGTGTATTTCACCTCCAGTACAGTACGTACACTATGCATACATAGTCATCATACATGCACAGTCAAAGCCTCACAATTATTCTAAGCCTTTTAACTTCAGCTCAGGGTTAACAAATATGGTTATTCACAGCCATTATAAACTTGTTAATGTTACAACACTGCACTCTGTGGCATTACTACTCTGATTCAAAAAGCTACGCAAGTTTATGATCAATTTCTAGCATAGCGTATGATAAAAAAAAAATCCATAAAGTGCTATGTTCTCCTCAGTGAGAGCAGAGTTCTGTGCTTCACTCAGCGGCCTAGGGGAATGAATAGACTTGGCTCATCCACACAGCTCTCCTTGCTTTCCACTGTAGCCTGTTGTCACTAGCCCCTGGTCGTACGCCAGTCGCCTACTTGGCAGGGAGAGGTGCTGTACAAAGCAACTGGCAGGTCTGGTAAATAATGCTGATGGAGTGTGATAGAGAGAGAAGCATCTCCTTTATTCCACACAGCTATCTGTTTCAGCGAGGAGAGAGGAGAGACAAATGCCGCCTGCTTTTTTCCAATCCATTCGACTGGAGAAGCAGGAGAAAAAAAACGACCTACCTAGCTCCTCTTTGTGTTATCTTTCATGATGTTTGCCAGCTTAAGAAAAACCAATAGCCCTCAGCCAATGGCTTACCAGAATACCCAGCACTGCAGGAGCAGACAACCTGCCAACAGCTGGGATTTACAGTTGAAACTTCATGCATACAATTACACAGATGAAGGAGGGACAAGTGGACAATAGCAATGCAGCGTTGAGGGGAAACACTCATCCAGGCAATCATGCAAAGCCCTCTACTTAGTTAGTGAAACAGGAAAGAGGGAGAGTGAAAGAGGGAGACATGATTATCAAACGCTGTATGACTGACTTCAGAGTTCAAGCTTCGGCATCAGCACAGAAACATGATCACCCTCCTGTGTGAATGCTGTGACTTCTTCAACAATGCTGTCTGAATGAGGGGCGCATAAGAGCTAAAGCAATCTCAGGTCCAGCCATTGTAGCAAAGAGCTCTGCAGTACATCTCAATGCACTGTTGTAAGAGTTTGAATATGTGGCTTTATGCATGCTGAGGCTTTAGCAGAGCTGAATCTGGACCATAAATACCCCCATTAACAATGCTCATTATCCCCATTTGCTAAAATTACGTCCAACCAGTGCCTCCTGTGTGGAGACATGAAGGAGCTTATCACTGACTATATGTGATATGAACAAGCCCTGCATAGTGTATGTACAATCAGTGGCTTCAGTAAGCAAAAGAAGCATGAATCCCTGACAGCACATGATCCCATAGAGAGGCTCTGCGCCAACCTGTAATCCATATATTTGGATGAATACATTGCACATATCATCTGATGTGGATATTAACTGGGAGTATTACTGCATATAAAGAGCATATATGGCTCAGTGGCAGTTTATAAAGCCACTCTCATCCCTGTGGGAGTGAGAAGGGTCAATAAGGTTTCCAGCACGGTGTAATATTCCTGTCACCGAGTCTAATTCTGAAAACACCTGTAGATGCATCCGGCATCCTCCCTTTCACTAAGCATAATTCGCATTAGCATACGGCCCAGAATATCCAGCCTGGTGAAGCAGTCAGGAAGACAGCCTGGTGAGAGCGAAGGTAGCGGGGTTAGCTCTCTTGTCAAAACCAATATCCACCTCTTGAAGACTAGACTGAGGAGAGGCAGCCAAAATCATCTGCATAAAGGAGAGGCACTAAAATCACCTCTCATAAAATACGACAGGGGAGCCAGCTCACACTGGTTAAAGCATGATGAAAGGAATGGAATCCAGCACAGCTCCCTGTCTGTGGATAATCAAACAACCCTGGCGCTAAAAGCATGGCATTCAAATTCAATTGTGAAAGCTGCTGCTGTCTGAGAAAAGGAAAAAGACGCGAGAGGAAAATACATCCCTGTTGTTTTGAACTCTGTGGGAGCTTAAAAGATGTGTTTTATAATGCCTCCCATTAGAAATAAACACACAAACCCTAAAACCAGAAAAATAGTTAACAGTACTTGGTATATGCTGAAATATAATAAATGCAATAGTAGTTACGTCAAATGATTATAGATTGATAATGCAATGAAAACAATAAAGATTTATTAAAGTGCAAGCAGCGGAGTGATCTTATGATGACTTCAACCCAGAGCATGACAGCCACATCTAATCCCCACGGAAACAGCAGTACATATTAACCAGCAGATAATGACAATATATCACATGGATTATTATCACATAATAGCAACGCACAAAATATCCTTGTTGCTACAAGCCCCTCACCTTGTACAGCTGAAGTGAAGAAATAAAAGAAGAAAATGTGCTTTTAAAAGAATGCTTTAATCCTTGAAATGCAACCGGTTAATATAGTGTATGTATCTATGGGGTAAAATAACATCAATGCACATCAAAGAGCCGCACACGTTCACTGACACAACAGCAGGCTTCTACACTTGGACTGCAATGTAGTGGTGCGGCAAAACAGCCTAGGCACCAGAGAGAGAGTATGAATGCCTTATTACAGTGTGTGAAGTGGAGCTGGGAGCTGGGAGGGAGAGGGGAATGTCTCAGTGACAGAGGCAGAGGCTGATGAAAGCCCTGCGCAGAGCAATCGAAAGCGCCGACACATGACACAGCTCATAACTGCTCACCATCCAGGACAGGATCGTATTCATGTAGCCCCCTCTCCTTCATGTATATTTAAACACTCACAGCTCCAGTTCAATTTCAGCTCAAAACAACACACATCGTTTATATATATATATGTGTGTGTGTATGAAATATCAGGTTGAGCCTCACATAGCAGTGAGCTGAAAAGACGAAGCCGCGGATGACCCCAAAATGGAAAAATTTGTCTTTACGTCATTGCTTCATTTTAATTAATAGAAAAATTGAGCAGGCTGCAGTGGCTTTGACACATTAAGACTGTGTGATCTTCACACATGGATGTATCTTCAAGGCCCTTGGTGTGTTTGTGTATGGGTGTCAATGTGAGAAAGCGTGTGGGTGTATTTGCTTGACTATATCTTTGTGTAAGAGAAAAGGGGAATGACGCGATGGTGAGAGCGGCTGAGCAAGAACGGAGAGAAAGAGTATGGACATGAAGACTGAGAGCGAATGAGAGAACATGGTGGTGATGGGAGAGAGAGAGAGAGA